AAGATATAGCCATTCTGTTCGTATTTAAGGAGAATCGAGTCGAGTCCATGCCGGCAATAATTATAGTTTGGCTTAAGAATTATTTTTGCCACTGCAGTACACTAAATTTATTATTTTTGCATTAATTTTGTCATCAAAATTATTTAATTTCATCATTCTATACTCTTCCCCTAACTTAAAACTCTAAATTATAAATTTTATGTTAGTGTTTAGTATTTAGGGTTTATGATTTCAAGGTAATAGGGTTAGGATTTATGATTTATAATTTAGGGTTTTAAGTTAAAAGTCTGGTATAAAATGGTATATTTGAACATCTTCGAATACTAAATTGATACGAAAATACGATAGAGACAAAAGTGAAATTAAGTCTATTAATTACCCTTTTGCTGTATAATTTTCTCGTGGCTTCCTCGCTCATTGACATGAAACAGCATATATATACCTATGGACAAGTCAATGATGTTTTTCGTAGGCTTTCCAAAATTCAACTTTCTTTAAACCAGAACAAAATTCAGTAATTAATATGTTATTCAAGACGATTAATAACTGATAACTATGAACTACTAAGCTTGTACACTGATTCGTCACTAAAGGGTGTATGGTTTGCAGAATTCTGCCTGGTTCTCTTAATGAAGCCCTAAAGCATTCGGTTGAAGATAGATATATAAATGTTCCATAGTACATCATTAAATAAAGTCTAACACCAGTCCATGGCTTTGTATTATTACCAATATAATTATAAAATTCTTACATCAAATTAATAGAGACCAAGAAGAAAAGGAATCTAGAGTTTTAAGTTCATGGATTCATCAGAGTGCTGCCCTACTTGATGAGCACAATCACGCTCCCAGCATCTCCTCTTGAAATCCGCAGTTCGTCGTCGAGGTACGTTGTAAGTAACCATAACTCTGCATTGCTGTTTGACAATGGGATCTTCAATGGTGGTTGGCTGGAAATTGTCTTTGCGACAGATGAAGCTGTGTCCTGTACAGAGGTGAGCAAGCCTTTAATAGGAGTGAGATCAATCTTTTGTCCCAGAAATTCAACATTTTCTGGTGGCACTATGGAGTCCGTCAGCTAGGGGGTTCCAATTATGCCTTCTTGAAACTTGATCTCTGCACACAACATTCATAAAGAAACAAGAGCAAATTTAAGTTACACCCGGTGTCCAGAACAACTTCGGGATCGGTTTATCGGAAGAAAATTAGAGCTCTAAACAACGTACCAGCACACGTTTGGGGCTTCGAACCTCGAATTTAGCATTAGTGCTGATGGAACTCGAGGTCAGCGGTCCAAAGAACTGAACAGAGTTCTGGACGGTGAGATTTTCAGCGTCGATCTGCGATATATCCTCCGCCTTGACTAACTGAAATTGACCCCTTGACAACAACGGAAACATACCTGGGAACGATGTGTACCTGTTCCACAACACAAATATCATATACTGTATTCGCACCCACTAATAAAGGCGATAAGTAAATTTGATGAGATCACCATCAAAACAATTCCTATCAAGTTATTCGCACCAAATCTAGTAGTATTCCTGACAATAATCTTTGAGCAATTAGCTCAGCCTTAGAGCATGTTGATGTTTGATATAGACAGAGCAAAGTGTTGATAATATCAAAACAAGCTCATAATTATATTTCTTAACGTTGACTTACGCGAGAATCCATTTTCCATTGAGCAGAGGCAACGCCTCGGTCGGTGCGGGAGTTGGGTTCTTGGCCTCGAGCCGAGTTATAAGCTCAACTATCTCAGTTCACTACTGGATTTCAAGCCACGATCAGTCCCATAAACCGAATCCACCAAAGTTTTCTTCAAGCTCTGGATTTCCACTACTTCGTCGGGCTTCTTCTCTTTTTCTGCCACGGCCACATCTGTACTCTCTATCACAATCGGCTCCTCCTTGACCAGGCCCCATTCGTCGTCGGCGTCCGAAGCACGGACATGGAAAACAGGTCTTGGTTTGATTGATTTCTGGGTCAAAAATTGAGATTTCTTTATCAGATTCTGAGTTGGTTTCCTAGTGTTGGGAGGCAGAACGGAGAGTTTTGAGGAGAAGTTATTGGGTTGTGAAGTTATAAAGAAGGTCTTGCATGGAAAGTTAGACAGTTGAGAAACTGTACCCATGGAAACGGGGTTTACGCACAGGGGAGATGAATACACGTAAGTATAACTTGTACAATTTCGACGACAGTGACCAAATGAAAGAAAACCAAGATGAACAAAGCTTGGGTGAAGATTTTATGTTTGTTTTGTATTAGTCAATGTACGTGTTCTGGACAAGTGGATGAGTGGAGTGTGTCAATCGTTCAATTGAATCCGGTAACTTGTGACGTGCCGGCACACGGCAGATTTGCAAGCGAGTGCTATTGGCGTGTAAACCAACTCTCGAAGCTTCTAAAGCTAAATTATCTCTCTACCAAGACAAAACTAGGAGAATCCAAAAATTTAAAGAAAAAAAATTCCAGAAGGAAATTGATGGATTCCAATCAATTTTTTTGACAGACTTTTGATAGGTGGATGGATTGTACTTAGAAAAATGATGCGGTGGTGAGAGAGGCGGTGACCGGAATCGGTGTTTAGGATTGGGAAGAGAAAGTAAAGAGACGACTATGGTTTTGCAAAATAGAAAGAAAACTAACTTGTGTATTTCATTTCAACTTAATCCAGCCCAATTGATACATATTACAATTATAGATTACGCCCAATAACTGACTAACAAACTTCAGCCCAAACAACTTAACTGCTGCTTGCCTTCTTGTATTGCCTACGTTTGTCCACTCCAATTCCAATATATCTCGAGGCTTCACCTCTCTTTGCTTGTTCGCAAGACACAACTCCAAGGCTACACCAAGACGACGTCGTGGGTCCCTAAACTTCGATGGAGGACTCACTTTGGTGATAATATCAACATTTTGTTTAGATGAAGTAACAAAATTAACAATGAATTGCCGTTTTCCAAGTAAAGGAATACCCATTTAAAAAATAATTTTTTTCTAACAATTTAACATCATAATTTGAATTATTCTAACTCTGATCATACGTATTAGCAAGGGTTTTAATTATAGTATACTCTGATCGTGGACCATATTTGAGGTAGGAGCTGTGCAATATTAGCAAGGGAAGGGAGAGAACGTAAAGATGCCTTTTTTTCTTTTGGTATTTGGTGGCTTCCATGTGGATTGCAGACTCGGTTTCTACTGATAAACCAATCATTTTTTTGTTTTTAATTTGACTTGCAACCCATATAACCAGTTGAATGTCTGCATAGGTTTGTAAACAAATTATTCTCTTAAGACAGTTTTAATCTCTCAAATGCAAAGAGAGCTGGCTGGCAGCTCATATGAGGAGCTTCCGACTGGCAGCTAATAGGAGCAAGGCTTATTTAGTATTTCAATTCAATTTATCTCCATGCTGTTGTTTTACAAAAGTTTTATTGTTTTGAAATTAATATTTAAAATAAGAACTTTTGATTTGGACAGACAAACTAACAAGAAAGAAGGAAAGAAAAAAAAAGGAATTTTCATGCAAAATGAAACATTTGGCAATGGGAGACGTAGGTTGACGCAAACTCTTTTGACTTTGTTCTTAGTCGGCGAACAACAAAAACCTAAATTAATATAATCCGAATAACTAAATCCAACCACTTGGAACTAATCAAATTAACACCCCCTAAGTTCTGCCCTCTGCTCTATGCCTCTAACTCAGACACAATCCATCCCCGTAAAGAAATCTTTCAACTCCAAACTCAAACATCCAACCTTTTTTTCTGTTTATTTTCTCTTACTGGACAGTGGTCCCAACGGGAATTTGAAAAGCTAGACCTTCCGCAATGACGGAGGAGCGGTACGCTCTGGGAAAACAGTGTTTTTTTAATACCCATTTTGTTTAATTCTGTCATTTTCATTAGTGTGAATCAATGCCGGAGGTGGGATTCTCTTAATTGTATTTTTTTTCCGAGTAATAGGCTCACGGGACTTCCATGCTGTATGCCTCCTCCTTAACTATCTTCACTCTCCCTTTTCCTTCACTTAGAGACGTTTTTTTTCTCATTATTCTTAGTTGGTTGCCCTGGTGTATTCTGGGTTTTCTTTGCATTTGCAGTATTCGTGTTAATTACAAAAAATGAGTCAGCTCAGTGCGTTGTTGCAGGAATCGTTGCAGCAGGAAAGGGAAGCTAGGACAATACTGAGATTTCTTAGGGAACAAATGGACGGTGTTGATAGGGAAAGGAGGAGGTGGAGGAGTTTTAAGGAACGGCTGGGATTTAAAGTCATGGGCTGCTGTGGGACCACATGGGGATTCGGATCAATGAATACGAGCGTCAGAGACGGAGACGGAGACGGTGTGGTTGAAGTTGAAGAACGAGTGGACCCAAGTCGTAATCCGGATCCAGGTTGCATTAACCCAGCTCCAGTTTCGTCAGGCATGAACCTGGCCGAAGCGTTAGCGGCGGAGCGACATTTTCGGGCAGCGCCGGAACCAGAGAGAGATAGCGCGGGGATTAAGTCCCCGGGACGCCGCTCAGGGTGTCGTTGATGAGGCTGTTGGAGGAGGAGGAGGTGGAAGAAAGCGGCACGGAGATGGGGAGTGATTCGATGTGCTGCGTGTGTATGGGGAGGAAGAAAGGAGCGGCGTTCATCCCATGTGGACACACTTTTTGCAGGATGTGTTCGAGGGAACTGTGGTTGAATCGAGGGTGCTGTCCCCTCTGCAGCCGTTCAATCCTCGAGATTCTTGACATTTTCTAAGGATCAATTAGTTTTCCCCATTACGATGACGGTGATCATCACCCCTCATGACGAAGATAGTGCTGCTGCCTCGAGATCCTATGGCATGAGAAAAGGAATTCCATTTTGCTATAAAAATAACATATTCTACTCTAATACTCCTATACTATTATTACATACTTTAATGTTGAAAAAGTTGGAACTCTTATTTTAACGTGCACTACTCTGTTTGTACTTCTTTATTTTCCACTCTTCTTTGTTACCGAGTAATATAGTTCGTTTCAGCGGCGGATGCAAGACGTACATGAATTTCAAAAAAAATATATTAATTTTTTATTAGTTTTACTTTGAAATTTTATTTGCATCTATTTGTGAAATTTTTTATATTCATATATGTATCTAGTGTCTGTACTAAAAAATATTTCTAAATCTATCACTGATTCAATACCCCTCGTCCACAGTGCTACAACATGTGAATATTAATTAATGGCGTGATCTTCTAAGAGTTATAAGGTTAAGTAATAATAGAGTTAGCTTACTTAATTACCTGAGTTACTAATTGGATACGTTTTGGAAATTGATTAGAGTATATCTTACTTTAGAACATGTTTCTTCTCAAAATTAATCTTTCACATTTGGATTGTCATAAAAGTTATCAAGAAAGTCTGTCTGAAAAACGTTTCTAAATTGTAACAAAACCACTTTTTTTAGGTCTACGAGACTACGACTGTCCAAAACTATCCAACTCATTGTACTTGTACTGTAATAATGCAAAGATTTGAATGTCAAAATAATAATTATAATAATAATAATGCAAAAGATTTGGACCTTTGATAATTGGAAATTTCTGGTGCAGATTGCAGGCTCAAAAACTTAACCTTCGTTTGTTTGAACCATGCCCTATTCTACTATAGGCCCAGATTCGTTAGAGTCCAATGTAGGTAGTTTGAGCCCGTGATGGCAGGCTAATGCCCAGACCCAGTTCGCTCAAAAAGGAAACATCTATATCGTATAAGATAATCTATTTTAATTTATATATCCTTCCAAAAATATAACCTGAAGCTTAAAAGTGAACCTTTGATCTGTGTTTAGACCCGTACCCAGATAGGAGATGTTGACTGAAGAGTTAACTTCCAGTCTGTTAGAGTTGGTTATCAGAAGTGATTAGTTGGTTAGCTTAGTTAAAGGTGGTTATCCTTGTAATGCACTTGTATATAATGATGGTGTACGTTCTATAGCAAAGGAATGGAAATCGATTATCAGTTTCAAGTTACATTCTTCTATATTCTCATTAGGAGAAAGCAACACGGCTTCTTCCTATTCATATATGGGTTGTTAGAGGAGTTAACATCAACCAAGAAACTAAAGCTGATACATCAACCTCTACATAAGAACAGTCGAGCATCGATTTGGTTCGAAAATGACAAAGCATAACCAAAAAAAGAGTGAAAGAAACAAAGAACAGAGAATAATCAGATCTGTCGTAGTCTCAGGGAAGGAACATTTATGAACGTATAGCGATGACGTGCATGATCCCAATATGGAAAGCGATGGTGCAAATAGGCATTCACCATGGATATGCACTACAGCTTGATTGGAAAACATTTACGTTTGGACACATTATTGTAAAGGGAGGGAAAGCATATTATTCCAATTGATAGAATTATAATGATCGTTTTTTATGAGATAAATGTTTTTTTTGTGCAATAACTCAAATTCGAATCAATAACATGATATATTTGAGATGTCATGTTGGATAATCAAAACAAGTAACAAATTTAAATAGTTCAAATTTGCATCGTAAATATCAAAATATGTCTCAAATCACTCATGTATACCAAAAGTATATAAATTAAAACAATTATATAAAATTTGGAGCTCCACAATAAGTTAAATGTAAATTAAAAACAATATTAGAATTAACAAATTAAAGTATAGAAGGTCCGATAAATACACGTACTCACAAACATAAAACAACGTAATGTACTTTGATCAAGGGTGTTGACAATCCCTCAACGATAGTTCTCCTCAAACACGAACACAATATCTACTAACATGTGCACGTAAATAATATAAACAATAAACTTTACAAAGTAACCATTTTAAAAAATAAAAAAAATAAACTTTACAAGTTCGATGGTACACATCTACTCTATTATACTTTCTATAATTTATAAACATAACCATAGTATAAAGGCACGACGTATATATTTTAATATACATCTCAACCAACAAAGTTTACTCTATTTTTAATAAGGATATAAATAGGGACGTAGTCAGGATCTTAACTTGAGGGGCAAAGTATAACTTTTTAAAATTAAGGGGTGATTTCATAATTATTCCATAAATATTTAAAATTTATATATAAATTAAAATAAAAAAAATGCTTGGGGGCACAGCCCCTCCCTATCCCTTAATAGTTCCGTCATGAATATTAAGTGTATAGTTTCAAACTTAGCATAAGTTTTTTTTTTCAAACAAACAATTTACATAATCATATTATAGGATATAATCCAAAACCGGACACCTTGATCTACTTGCATACAGTCCTACGTTACTAAGTTGGAGAATCATAAATATATTTCAAGTCTCGTATAGATAGATATTACACTTAAAAGTCGCGAATAATAATATTACAATCCACGTTACACACACATCACCACTAAGCCATGCACACACTTAGACATAAGTCTTTCTCACATACTCATCCTTGGATTGGAGCTTTCATGGATAGAAATATTAGGGTGTCTTAGCCATTCTCAAGTCTTATGGAATAAATGTAAAGAGTTTAGAGTTTTACGAAAGTTTTTTAACGCTTTCTCTATTATGGGTGTCAGCACTTTATCGATACTCTCGTATAGGTAGAGAGTATCGATATCAAATTAGCATATTGGAATTGTTCAAACTTTCTCAGTTTTGATATTGACTCTTTTGATATCAATACTAGATGAACAATACTGATATCAAATGAACTACTATTGATACTTCGTTTTATGAGTTTATAAGCTTACAATTTTAGTGTATTAGAAAAACTTTCTAAGTTTAAACTCTCTTCAAATCTTTAAGTAGGTTCACACTTTAAATATGAAGGTGAGTTATTCTTGAAGCTATTGGAGTGTTAAAGATGATATTTACCTATCCTAAACGATAATGATTGCTTTGGACAAAAAAGATGAAGTATTTTTAGTGTTCACAAACTAGGATTTTCAAAGGTAAAAGATGAGTGAAAGAGTTGAGAGAAAAATTAAGAAATAGGGATGATATCACGCATTTAATTAAATTCAATATTCATTTAAAAAATTGGTTCAATTGCAAACTTAGCCATTTCTTTTTTTATCATCAATTCAAATATCTCACTTTTACAATATTTTAGGCCTACATTTCATCCAATCAAACCTAAACTTGGCTTAATGAACCCCAATTGCTCTAATTTATTGATTTATTTATGACTCAGATTTTCGTATGAATGTTGACTCAAATACTCAAGTTATTACATATTGTAACATATAGAGCAGTGTCAAAACTTGATGAAAGAGTTTGGCTGCTTGTTTAATCTTCTTTAAGAAAAATAAAGGCTTAAACTATTTTTTAAATGGAGGTTTAACTAAAAACTTCAATACTTTTGAGAGACCTAATGAGAACTTTTAAGAATTTGTAAAAGAAATTTTAATTAAAATAATTATTTTTAAAAAAAAAATAAAATAAATTTTTAAAAAAAATTGAGGGATAAATTATTTTTATAAAGAAATAAAAATAAAGGATCAAATTCTAGTTTTCCAAAATTTTGAGGGAGCCATAACTCCTCTAATCCCCGTTACTTTTCTCCACTAATGCAAAATGCCAATGTCAATAGCGAATCAACACAAAAAGCATCTTTTATTTTTTATTTCAGTGGTGGGTTCATTCCATTAGCATTAAAACACAACTTTTCAATATTTTGTAGCATTGGAAATCTCTTTCGTCTTTTAGGTTAAAATCTTTCTTTGTCATCAAACTCATCCATAAACCATCCGTTCTTGTCTCCTTGACGTGTGTTTGATTTCATTTTGAAAGCTACTACTTTCATGGACGGGTCGAGAAGGTGACTGGGTACAAGCGTTCTCTAAAACTTTAAAATTATCATATATTTTAAATTATTTTTATGTATTTTCTATTGAAAATTTATTTTCGTCCTTCTAGAGTTTTATAAATTCATCTCCTTCTAGAATTTTAGAGGTTCGTCCCCTAACATAAAATCATACATCTGTCTCTGACTATTTTTACAACATCGAGTTATTCTATATGTTCTTTGTATGTAAGATGATATATGATCTTAATTTTAGGGATTGTATTTGATGATATTAATAGTGCATTTGATATATGATATTAATTTCATAATTTTTTGAAGATTATTATACATAATTTTTTATACATTATCAATACAACAAATATATATTTTTAGTTTTACTATATATCAATTATGATTTTTACTACAACGATAAAATTATATATTTAAAATATAATATAACAATAATAGACATAAAATATATATTATACTAGCGCATAATTATAGTTTAAAAGTCAAGATTACATCTATTCACAAGCAAATCAAGATTACATGCATTAACAATACCATATCTTTTCAAGAAATTATTGACACCATCTAGACTTGCACAGCACCATGCTACCGGCAAAGAACAATAAGAATGAACCAATCCCCGTACACCTTCAGGCTTTTGAGTCAACTTTACAAGCGTTTATGATCTTAAGAATTTTCATTTTGCATTCTTCTTCTCTGTTAGTGTGTGTGTATATATATTTATATATATATGTATATGTGTAGGTGCGTGTAAGGAACATACTTCCAAGTCGAAATAAAACAAGCCAGAGTTTAGGTACGGACATAAAATTTTTTGAAAGATAATATTTATAAAATATTAGTGTGAATAATTATTTGCGATGATATCGATTACAAAACATGGATATGGCGCAATCAAAGCTGTAGGGCAAGGAGTAAGTTCATCGAATCTGGAACTCCATCCAGCGCCAATTATAATGGACCTTGGCGCACGTAATATATAAATATTATATATTGCATGTGACATGATCTTTTTCTTTCTTTTTGGTATCAATATTGCTTGACCGTTGTTCTTAATTAATTTCTTCCTAAACATGTGGATTAATATTGTAAATATAAACACAAATTGAAAAATTACAAGTTTAATTATAGAATCGTATTTTATAACTTCTTGATGCGTGATTATCATGCATGTGTATGTAACCATTGAGTGCTCTTGGAAAAATCGTATAGGAATTATTATACCTTGGCTGGACTTATTACAATGTTTAAATGGTTGTAAATGATGTATGCTTTCATGATTGAGCATATATACGTAATATAAAGCAAGGACGCTGAATTTGGTCGTGTGTTATTAATTAATATCCACTCAAAGAACAATAACCCTAAAGCTGGCACTATAAAATCAGTTATATTTTTCCCTATGATTATAAATTTATATTTGATCCATGATCAATATGTCTATATACTATATATTATAAATTTATATTGATTCATGATCAATATGTGTATATAAAATTAGTTTTCAATTGAAGTGGGGAGAGAATTGGATTCATTTGTACTGGCTACTGCAGTTGTAAAGTAAAATGACGTAGGTCCGACAAACAGAATTGAAAATCCTTTGCATGTAATAACAGAAGTTAGTGACATCTAGCAATTAAGCACAGGTAATAATAGAGCTTTAAGGAATTTGAAGATGGGACGTCGTCGCATGTGATTAGTGACATGAGAGGTCCAGTGTGGGAACGAATTAATTGAATTCAATAATCAATATTCCTAGTGTGTAATTTATATAATAGGACAGAGACAAGACAAAACCCACGACCTCGGTTCTATGATATCTTTATGTCGTTTATATTTGTTTCATTATCATTTCTAACTACGACTTAGATAACTAAAAAAATTATAGTATTCACGTAGGAAAGTAGGTTGTTTTTCATTGAAGGAAACCTCCCCCGTTCCTTTAGGTTTAGCTTGAAATGATTGATGTTGTTTCCCCATAATTAAGGAGAAAAGAAGAAGAAGAAGAAGAAAAAGCCAAGAGTGTAATTGGGGTGTATGTATCTTTTATCTTTCATTTACACATTCATGCACGTAAAATTAGTAAACAAAATTAATTACTAATAATATCGTTTTTAAATTGTTAATGTAATGAAATTTTGATTATGTTATAATTGTTTTTGCCCGTTTAACTAGTACTCCAAGGTAAACGTGTACGTTTTAACATTTTTTATATTCTTGGGTAAACTACACATTTAGTATCTAAACTATTATTTTGGCCCTGTTTTAGTATCTAAACTTTTATTTTTTTTCAAAGTCATATCTAACGTTTAATTTTTATTTCATTTTAGTATATTGTCATTAAAAACTTAACGAACGGGCTGACAAGGTATAGATCTGGTGGACAGACGATTAATCCGAACATTGGACCACAAGAGAATGACGAGTTGGCCAATATAGTTCAATTTTAGGCTCATCATATGGTTGACGACGGAGATCGAATAATGAAGAAGTTGAATAATTCATCTTCGATTTGGAGAGATTGAGGCATTTTTGGGTGATATGAAGATCGAAATCATGTTAAGGGGTCGAGAAGGCATGGACCGGAAAGTTTGGGCTTCATCAGTCCACCGATGCAACGGTCGACAATTGTAGACGCGGCGGTTGGCGAGCTCGTTCGTTAAGTTTTTAACGACACAATACTAAAATGAAGAAAAAAAACTAAATGTTAGATATGTTTTTAAAAAAGTTGAAAGTTTAGGTATTGAAATGATTAAAATCAATAGTTTAGGTATTAAATATATAATTTATTCTAAAATCTTTTACTTAAGTGGAAATAGAACTACGGGAAAAAATACGAAAGACCTCAAATAGATTCGGAAATTGAAGAATAAAGGTACTTGGCTTAATGTATGATAGGTCAAGTCACATCAGTCGACATTGAAACCTTTACAGCATAAATTAAAAGGCTACAGTATTAACATTTACACTGATCGATTAATTAAGGATACAGTAAATAGTAAGCGTCTTATTAGTCAAAATAAGAGAACAATAAAAATTAGAATTTTAAACATAACAATATAATTAGGACATGAAGAAAGTATGGCTTAATAAAAAGGAATATAAACTTTTGAAAAATTATATTAAAATTTTATGAGGATACACAATTAAATTACTAATAAAAAAATAAATTATATAAAAAACTAAAATTCTAAGAGATATTATAGAAACAACATTATTGAAAACAAAATATAAAAAACTATATGGTGAGGAGTGGAGTGTCCAATATTTTAATTTTGTGGTATCTTTTTTTATTCCATGTTGTTGCCAACATAAATACGATTCACGGAGTGTATTCCGGCGGCTTGATACGTGGGGGCGTCTCCGTCTTTTCCTTATAGCCTTGTCGATTGCCTTTACTATCTTTTTCATTTGAGATATATTATAGATATAGCACCTTGGGACTTATTCAGGACATTAGCGTATACCCTTAATAGTGTCAGCTATGAAATAACATTATCCAGATATATTCAAAATTTTATCATTCAAATTTTATTTTAATCATATTTTAATTAAAAAATTATTTATTTATTTATTTTTAAATATCATTTTTGTCAATTTACCGTTATCTTTATAGTTGTTATGATCTATTTTTTTGTACTGTAAATTATTAACACGGAAGTTGCATATAATCTCTCTTTTTTCTAATGATTTTATCATCTTTATCAATTACCCTTCTTCACCATCTAACGATCTCTCACCAGTCATCACCCGTAACAACAATAACAACAATAGAATCTTGGTCCAAAATCAAAAACAGAAGCTTATCGAGAAAAGAAAGCAAAATCAAAGAGAGAAAGATATATTTCCTTATGATGGATCTTTGAAGATCAAAACCCCCATTTAAAGATATTAATGATTGAGAGTATCTTCTTATGGTGTGGAGCAGCGTCTTTTCATTTGGGTTGTATGACCGTATCTAGTGACACGTGATAAAGATTGGTGGATAATAATCTGAAACGTTCAATGCTAAATATGTAGAATTTGAGGTATTTTTGGTAAAACGAGTGTTACACTCATGTTTAAAATGGTAAAATGACCTTGACGAAAAATGTTGGGATTTGTCGGTAACTGAAGATGACAATTGATAATGATCAAATCAATACGATGATCGATCGCAACAAACGGTGATCAGAGTTTGGATTAGTTCAAGTTGAGAGAGGAGCGAAGAGTTATAAAAGGAACAAAATAAATAAAAATGACTTTTTTATGGATTTAAACAACATCATTTTTGTGTGTGTAAGATTTATTTCTTTTGGAAGGATCTAAAACACTATCATTTTGGTGTAAATTGTTATGTCATCACAATATTTGTGGTTTGATGATGGTGTTGTGCACAAGAAATTAGATTTTAAAACCGAGAAATTAAATTAAAAAAATTAAATTTAATGACCAAAATAAAATTGAGCGATAATTTCTTAATGTCCATCAGAATTTGAAAATTTTATTAGAATAATGCAGGTAAGAGGGGTATCTAGCTAACGATGCCTTTTCAGAGGTTACATCCCATATTTTAATTAAGTTGGAGCAGGAGGATTTGTGTTGTTTCCTATCTAGCCTTTCATGAAAACTAGTGTTCTACTTCAATTTGATTTGGAATCCTTCAGTATGAACCTCTTTAGATATCATGCTTGCTTCTATTATTTAGACATTATAATCAAGTCTTTGATTCACAATTCCGACTCAAAATATGAAACAGAAAACTATAGATTAAATATAATTTAATTAAACTATGGTAGGAAATTACGAGTTTGAACAAAAAAATGGGGCGTGCGAGAGGGAAATGCCCCTCGGGGTTCGTACAAGACACGGACAGCCACAGGGTAGCAAGGGAAGGGATGGGCGATGGGTCCTCTCGCTTTCCCCCCACTAAGAATGTTATAGATAAACTCGCCCAAAAGATCATCCATCATGCCCGTCAATTCAACACCAAAACTTGGTAGTTCCAACTCCAACAATGTGTTGCGCCACCAGTCTTTTGCAGATGGGCGACCAACCTTTGCTATTATATTCTTGTGACACATGATTTTGTCTTTTATCTTCACCTTTTTTTCAAAATTTAAGGTTAAAATACATAAATGATCTTCGATTTTGATTTTATTTTATTGAATTTCACGAGTATTAAAGTTATAGAAAAAAAAAGTCTCTTGGGGTATCGTTTTGTTGATTCCCTTAACTACTAAAAGTTATAAAACAATCACTCAACTATTTATATGTTCTAAACTTGTCATTTTTCGTTAAAAGTTTGACGGTTGTCTAAGTTAAATGTTAATCTATTGACTATGATATGATAAAATCATATTTTAATGATGTCTACTAGGATCAATGCTCATTTCAAATATTGACTCGACAATATAATGTTTCAAGTATTGATTCAATGACATAGTGTAACGAACATATTAACGTCTAGATCAAACAACTGTCATTTTTTTAACGAAAAATGATAAGTTTGGAATATATGAATAGACGGATGACTGTTTTATAATTTTTAATAGTTTGAGACTCAATAAAGTAACACCTTGTAGTCAATGAATCATTTTGAAACTTTCAATAATTAGGGGACTCAACAAATTAACATCATATAATCAAGGGACTATTTGAGTACTTTACCAAAAAATTAATTATTTGCTCTTACTTTCAAACATTTATTATGATATATGAATATAATTGTTGATGATAATAAGTTTATCTTTTCGGTGGTTTGACTATTTATCTTGTTTAGTTTTGTTAGAAAGTTGTAATCGGTGAGAAGACAATCATTTATCGTGATATGTAAAAAAAATGATTTGATCATGGAGGATGAAGAAGACAATATATAGACTGAAAATGTTTTTCAACCCCTTTTTTAGTTTTGGTTGAAGCATTTATAATGACATTTAGCGCGTGTTTTAGTTGTATGGATATCATGATTATTTTCAGACAAATGGATTAGACAGACAGAGACAGAACACAATAAATATTAGTTTTGAAAAAATTATAATTTTGATCCTTAAAATTTTTAAAAAATTTAATTTGGCCCCAAATATTTTTTAGGAATTTATATTAAGCTGTTAAAGTTTTTAATGTTCTTAATTATACCCCTCTCATAATTTCTAAAAATTCTCATTAAGCCTCTCAAAATTTCAAAAATTTTAGTTAGACTCCAATTTTTATTTTTATTTTTTGAAAAATGTAAATTGAATCATTCTACCTTTTTGAAAATTTTAATTTTAACCTCTAAAGTTTTTAAAGTTTTAAGTTGTTCCCTAAACTCTATCATCAAATTTCGCCATTGTAGACTGATATGGTTATTAGAACTTGAAATATGTTCCGAGATTTTTACAGTGAGTCACTCCGGTGGCCTTAATGTGACACCACAGATCGGATCGAATTATCCGCATCGATTTGAATGGGTACATACCCGACTCGGTCTGACTCGTTGACCGTTGTTGTCCGTTAACTTTAACCGAAAAAATCAAAATTTTCGAAAAGTCAAGTCACGTTGACTAGAAAGCCAATATCAACTAATATGAACTTGCTCTTTAATAGGCAGAGTGACATATTTGAAGACCTTAAGCGATGAAAATATTAACAGCTTCAACGTATACGATTTGATGAAAAGTTGAAGGTTTCCGAAAATCATTTCCGGAAGCATAACAAGCTTATAAATTATTTATATACTAAACAAAGAGAAAAGAGTAATAGTTGTAATACACATCATTAATTCCTTGTATATGTGATTGTCAATTTACCATGATATATTTTGATAATGTGGAAAATTGGTTGCTTTGACAGTGACAGATATTATTTTATTTTAATAAAATTATTTACAAATCTAAATTTAATTCTGTACACACACATTTCCATTTTCGTCTTTTATTTTTTATTTTTCATTTCACCTGTTTTTCCCTCGTTCTTTGCCTATAAATTGCACTTCACCGGGCTCCCATATCACTCACGCCTTGAAACTAACACAGCAACACATTACTAGAAAAGCTTGGTAAGATCCCTGGATAAACAATGGAGCTCACTTTCCCTCTCATCGACTTCTCCAAACTCAACGGTGAGGAGCGAGCAACGGCCATGGAAATGATCAAAGACGCCTGTGAGAATTGGGGTTTCTTTGAGGTACTAAAACCTCTTAAATGTGTTCTTTAACGCTAAACCAACCATATCTATAGTTTACATCTTTTACTCAGTTGATTCATTCGTTATAATAATGCTTCTAATCTTTTGTTGTATCCCCCCCTCCCCCCGTTTAGCTGATGAACCATGGAATATCACATGAGCTAATGGAAACTGTGGAGAGGCTGACAAAGGAGCACTACAAAAAGTGCATGGAGCAGAGATTCAAAGAAATGGTTGCCACTAAAGGTCTTGAGGCCGTTCAATCTGAGATCAGTGACATGGACTGGGAAAGCACCTTCTTCTTGCGCCACTTGCCTGAATCGAACATAGCTGAAATTCCTGATCTTGAAGAAGAGTACAGGTCGGGGTTCACTTTCTTTTTCTTACACGGTGGCAATGATGTTTTTTTCGGGTTTATGTTTTAACTGACATGGTTCCTTTTTTTAACAACAGAAAGGTGATGAAGGAATTCGCAGTGGAGTTGGAGAAGCTTGCAGAGCAACTTCTAGACCTGTTGTGCGAGAATCTGGGATTGGAACCCGGTTACCTGAAAAAGGTGTTTTATGGGTCTAAAGGGCCAACCTTTGGAACCAAAGTCAGCAACTACCCTCCATGCCCCAAACCAGACCTGATCAAGGGACTCAGGGCTCACACTGATGCCGGTGGAATCATCTTACTGTTCCAAGATGACAAGGTCAGCGGCCTTCAGCTTCTCAAGGACGAACAATGGATCGATGTTCCTCCCATGAAACACTCCATTGTCGTCAACCTTGGTGACCAACTTGAGGTATACCAACCAAGCACCGGCCTTTATTATTTTACACTAAGTTTCAAGTGATTTGGATTCGGTAATAAAAAAAAGTACAATGGATTAATATATCCAAGTGGAAAACATAAGTTATTCCAAGCTGAGGAGTGGGGACTACTTTTTTAAGGCCGATTCCTTGATATATTCGATGACTATTTTTATTTGGTTGAACCAGGTAATCACCAATGGTAAATATAAGAGTGTGATGCACCGTGTGATTGCTCAAACAGACGGCACCAGAATGTCCATCGCTTCCTTCTACAACCCGGGCAGCGACGCTGTTATATATCCAGCACCGGCTTTGCTGGGGACAGAAGCGGACAAATCTGAAGTGTATCCCAAATTTGTATTCGAGGACTACATGAAGCTCTACGCAGGTCTGAAGTTCCAAGCAAAGGAGCCAAGGTTCGAAGCCATGAAGATCATGGACTCCACACTTGACTTGGGTCCTATTGCAACTGTTTGAGTCATCTAGTGACTGAAAGAGAAATGGGTTTTAACTTAGCAGTGTGTTTCTATTAATAAGTTTAGTGAGTGCTAGCAGGTGTGGATCTTACTAGTTTAAATAAGATGACAAAGCTTGGACTATGAATTCCTCTGTTATATTTCATGTCTGGTTGCTAGTGGCTGTGCTTTGAATCATATGTTTTGAGTTGCACAAGTGACCGAATTATATCTGATATGAAAATTGTCATTAAGATTTTATCTTGGCTCTATTAGGGTTTTATAAACTGTTTGGTTCTATAAAATTTTGCAGCACTTGATGAACAACCCCGTTGGGGATTTGGGGAAAGAAAAATGAAAAAGAAAGCTAAGATTTTACCATTGCCAAAAGGAAAAGCACTTTCATGAGCAACTGGTGTCAAACGAAAAGCACTCATATCATATCTCCACTTTTGCCGGGAAAAAAAGGAATGATTTTTATCAACTTTCTGTCAGCCAATCGGGCAATGCATATTAATGTTGCTTAGATAACAATACAGAGGTGAGATAATCAAGGTTAGAGCTCCTAATATCCACACAAACTCCAATCTCATTCAAGTGGAAAACTGACCACCGAATCCACTAAACTCGATCTCAGCAAGATTATAATAAAATAACGTAAAAACTTTTTTATCGCAAGCTATAATCATTGATCTCTTCCTGTCTTCTCGACTTAACTAATTAATTTCCTTCTCTTAGAATGGAAAGGGGCATCTATACGACCATGGTTTACATGTTATTTAAATACTTCAGTTTGACTCTAAGGGTGCATTTGGTTCACGGAATATAAGATTACCAGTGGGAATAAAATATTACTAGAGAATAGGATTACTGGGAATATTGTATTTTGTGTTTGGTTGATTTAGCAGGAATGTAAGATTACCGTGTTTGGTTAAACGAATAAAAGATTATTGGAATGTATATTTGACCAAATTGTCCTTATTATATATTTGTTTTTTAACAAGTTGAAAAATATTTATATATTTTCTTTAAAAAAATTAAATTCATAAAATTTATATAATTTTTTTACAAAATTAAAAATATAAAAATATTTAATGAAAGGGTAAAATTTTATTTTAACCCCTGAACTTCATATAAAATTTTAATTATAGACTTTTTTTGTAAATCTAAAATAATTTAAGGATAAATTTGTAATTTAACCTTTGTAGAATTTTTATTATTCAATGACAGAATAAGAATATTTTTGAAAGAAAAAAAAATTAAGGGTATTTTAGTCCAAAACGCCGGTAATCCAACAATAGGAGGTAATGACATTCCCGATAATATATCCAAAAAATCCACTATTGATAATGTAAGATTACCGGGAATAACATTCCCGACCAACCAAACGGGGGAATGTGGATTCCATTCTCATGGGAATCTCACATTCCCTAACCAAACACACCCTAACGGTCTGCTTCAAACCTGTGTTAGTGTATAATACTACTAATAAATTTCCTTATCTGCAAATTTGGCTTTTCAATCTGAAAGCCAAAAAAGGAAAGGGGCAGAGCAATATTTTAGAAATAACTCAACCCTTATCTGCAAATGACAAAAAATAACATGAACATTTGAGATTAAGGGAATCAAAGTTCATAATTCAAATATAAACATGTCACAGTTTCCAACTTGCCTCTGCACCAGTTCATCCTACTTTTTTCCTTGGCCATCATTACTTGTTTCTCTGTCCCTTGGTGAGTTAGAATCTAGATGCGGAACATCATTATTAATCAGAATCAAATAAAATGCTTCATAGGCCTATTGACAAAACAAACTCAGAAACATGTTCGGATTAACAAGCACATAGTAAATCCAACATCAAATTGCTACTTGTGTTTATTCGCACGGTTGGTTGTTATGCCGGGAATATTACGAGGGGTGAAACTCCCCACTTTTACATACATTTGGTTTGTGTAAAGAGTTAATAAGTTATCTGTAATTACTACATATGTTTGAGTAATCATTGCAATTTATGTATCATAATTGAGGTCCACTATCAGTATAAAGTGCAATCCTTTCTAATAACAAAAACTGGCGTCCAAAAGCTCACATTACACTAGCCAGGAACTGAAATCGCTATCAACTTATTGCTTTTTATTGCGAAATGGCCTTCAAATCTTCAATCATGTATAACAGGAAACCTTCCTTCTAAGCAGGGAAGGTATCCAAAATCTTAAAAACTTATATTTAAGAATCAAAGGCAATATGTTGGAACTATGTAATTTTCTTATAGACCATATATACTCTATACATCTCATCTGTCACTATGTGTAGTAGAGTCACATGAGTGCTTCATCCGGTTCATTCAACTGTCTCGGTTTGCTTCGCTTAAGTTGTAAAAGATTTCTTTATACAGTCTACAATGCCTTCACAATCTGCTTCACAAATCATGCAATCCGGCATGTCTTAAAAGCCATCTTCATATGAATGAGGAGACCGAAGGTTTCCTTGAGTCTGACAGGCCTTCATTGTCTTGCAATGTTCAGCTTCATCATCTCTGATGTTCACAAACACATCGTACAAATTATCTGTGAATGGACATAAAAATAAAAGCACGTTTGTCAGTTTGCATCAACAATTTAGCAACAATATTCCTATAGATTATTGCCATACCCCATGCAGGCACTTGCCAGTTCAATGACCTGAATGGAAGTTGTAACAGAAAATTGGTCTTTATGATTACTACAACAGACTTATGCAGTACTCACACTCATATACACAACACCAGATCTAGTTAAAGCACGAATTTCTAATTAACAAAAATCCAATCTATTACCTATTTTTGGTCTTCGTGAACGGGGAGCTCTAGCAGTTTGAAATTCATCTGGTCAGAAAATGTGGAGGAATTGTTGAACCCCAATATGAGATATTAAAAGACTGAACCATCAAATGTGAAGGGAAATACTCACCAAAAAAATATAAATCACCTTCGGTATAGTACTTGATAGCAACCTCGGAAGCAGTTTTTTATTTTCAACTCGTCTAAAAAACAAATGAACATAGTAGATCAAAACTGGGAAAGTCAGTTAAACAGTGAACTGAAATGCATGGATGATGGATGCAATGAAACATCGAAATGTTTTTCAAAAATGTTACCACCAGTTAGTTGCCAGTTACTAGTTAACATATGCAGGATAATTTAAAACTATAACTTTTGCGAAACTTGTGACATGATACACATACAAAACTGCAAGCTATCTAAGACGAATGAACAGGAAATAGAGATCTGGCAACTTACGTCCTTTGGCATTGATAAATTTATCATAGGTTTCAAAGGCATGACTCTCTAAACATTCAGAAAAGTGATCTGCAGTAGTCATTAACCAAATATATTAAATTAAGCACCACAAATGAATGAAGGTGAGCAAGCTTCAATCTCAGTCACAGTATGTATTACATACCTTACACAATCAAAGCAAAGTATGTATTACATACCTTACACAATCAAAGCAATGTTACAATAAAACAGCACGTCGAAGGGAAGAAAAAAAAAAGAGGGGGAGATTTTTCAAGAATATTAAGCATTTCTTTGCATGATGAATTCACAATAAAGCAACCAACAGAGTATAAGTTTTATGTGTTCAAACCGAGCAGAGGTTAAGATATGCAAATCCCTTTATTCTGTTTGGTCTCTTTATAGTTAAAACTGGTAAACAGGTTGAAGTTAAGGCAGCAGGACAATGGCTGTATGCAAGAACATCCCTTTACATAAATACCAAGTTAGATGGCAATTCTAGTCTCTATAACTGCTTAAGGTCATCAATAGGTTTTCGGGAAACCATTTTCTTTACAAGCTCATTAGTACATATAAAGGCTGCAATTGAGCAGGAAATGTTCTTTCATCATTCAGAATGAAGAGGCCAGGCTAATCCAGAAAGCATGTGTCTGCATGCATGTGCGAAAGAGTGTGAGTCTGTGAGATAATAAACTGCTATATGTTGAGCAAGAAAGGACATGCATGCATGCACACACATGCTTTCTGGATTATTCTGGCATATGTTATCAAGAAAGCGTTCAAACCACCAAGAATCCCCCCCCAATTCCTGCAACCAAATGTGATAAGAGAAGTCATGTAAATGAGACACAACATATAAGAATGATACGCACCATGCTAGGTTTTTCTTTTCCCCTTAATGCCTCGTAAATAAACCATCTATCATCTTCACCATCTAAACTTTTCAATTTTTTATTCAACTCACTCGAAATCATCACATGCTAGTCAAGGTTAAAATTCACAAATAATTCAACAATATTAGTACCTTACTTCCATAATCAGCAGGTGGTGCATTTCATTCCAGCTCTCAGCAAAATGCACTTTTAGATAGCCCGCTCTCCTCCACCAACTAAAACTCTCGTACAGGTGCGGGACAGATACAAAGGCTGTCATAAAGACAAAAAAAATACCCAAATATCAACAAAACTCTTGCAAGTACCTCCGGGAAATGCAAGACCATACCAGCAAGTTCAAGCAAAATGTTAAAATAAATTAATTTCTCCTAGATAGCTAAAATCTATCCATATAACGTTGCACTTTTTTCTAGTATAAACGCGAATAATGGATTACGTAAATAACGGATGTAAGAAAAAGTCAGTGACCGAAATAAGGAACTCTAGCAATTGTTTCCAACGCAAAAAATCTAACATAATCTTTGTCATGGTACAATGTATCTTTTGTAGACCCCAGTTTTTATCCGGGCCCAGCATCCAACACCCATTAAAGCCAAAGTAAAAAAACAAATAAACCCACACCACATTTCCACGTTTCTCACAAACACTACCCAACAACCCACTACCCCACTAACTAAAAAACAAATTCCTATTTTCTTTTTTCCTTTTTAAGGGGGTCATCAGAAAAAAGATGGGGGGGCTTCTTCTCTCTTCGATGGTAAAAAGCTGTTAGCTTTTAATTTTTAAAGGGAGTCTTCAGATCCATGGGGGGGAAGCAGCAACAAAACTCCAAAGAAACCATGATGAATGAGGCCAAGCGGTGTCAAATGATTTAGTTCTTTCTTCCCCTTTGATTCACCGACTTCCCCCCTCGCCTCTCAGCTTCTCTCGCTAATCATCACCCTCTTTGATTCCAACAAAAACGACGACAACAATCGCCATTTCATCTCCCATGGCAACAACGCCTTTGCCATTGTCCATCATTTGCTCTCCTCGCAGCAAATCGCCGCCTCGCTTTCATTAGTATCGGTTTCTCGAAAACGAAAGAGGACC